CACTACTAAACAGAGTGTCTACACAGTATGCTGCAGCTTCTGGACTTATGCAGACTATGGAAGGATATCGTTGGCCTTGGAGAACCCCAACCGAAGGTACTCGCACCTCCATTCAATGAGTGGGTGCGAATGGCGAGACGTTTCATCAATCCTTTTTTAACTCCACCAGTTACCCTAATTAATAGGTCTTCATGCATCGGTGTGGGAGCAAATCCTTCCTCCCTTCTCTGGTTGCATAGTCTGCCACTAATTTCTTCTGAAATCATATAAAACTTATGGGAAATTGTTAACATCCAATTCGGCATATAAATCTATAACAATTCTCAAGTTAACAATGTAAATACATTCGCAATTGAACTTTTTCGGTCCAATGACATCAAGTAATATATAAATATATTTTTTTATTCTCAAGATAACAATTTGAATCCGATCACTTGTAAATTTTTGAAAATAATAAAAAATGTAAATGTATACATATATTATATTTTCAGACATAAAAAATGAAACATATTAATTAAAAGGAAATTCAATAAATTTGATAAAATATTCCTTAAAAATTAGACTTCCACCTTGTTCACAATTAATATACAACACAATAGACACACCTATATTAATAAATTGGATTAATTCATACGAAATTTCCCAAAATCAAAAGGAGTGTTAATGTTACCAACAAATATACAATAAACAAATCAATTCAAATAATCATAAATAACACTTTTCAACCAAATTAAACCCACCAATAAACAAATTCAAAATTTTTATTTCATAAAATTAAATACTGACGTTATTATTTTTGGTCTTGTCATTGCAATACGTAGGGCACCTAATCTTTCCTTTGGAGTGGTGGTCTCTTACTCATATACAACTTAGGAAAAGTAGATGGTTGCCCCTCTGGATCTGCCTATTGTTGTAATGGTAAATTTAACATCAAATTACATAAATAATAATAATAATAATATAAATAACTTGTTAATAAACATTATATAAAAATGTCAAGTTATAGCATTTCCTTTGTATAGGCAGCAATACCCATCAAGCCAATGGTATTGTGTAACCCTTGGGCCTTTACCTTCCTTGAATTTGACCGCCCAATATGGTCCTCATCTTGAAAAAATGGTACAAACATTTTAGTAAAAAAAGTTACAAAAAAATAAACATCACTACTAAGAGATAATATTTAGAAATTGTTTATATATTTACTCAATTACCTCAGTTCATATATGTATAAGCTCCTAAAAAAACTCAAGATTCACATCTTTCAACTTCACAGAAAGTTATTAGCCTCACGTTCCTTTTTTTCTCGCCTAATGCATGTTTGAATTTAAGGGCACATGTATGCTCTCACAATTTTTGCACACTGTTGTTCTCAAGATCCCAATGGAATTTTTTCTAAGGAGAAAACAAAAGATTAAATTCAAAAAGATGTAATGTTAAACTTTCAACAAAAGAATATTCAAAATTGTAGTTAGAAAGGATGCTTCAATAATACACAAATTAGATTCCAGTATAATAGTCTCGATGCTTTAAAGGAACGAAAGTACATACAATATATGTATCAATAGATTATCCTTTAATTGCACAATAATATCTCAATGGATAGTCTACAAGATATTTTCAGTGTTGTTTAGCACGAGTGGGATCTTGCCATCATCTACAGGCATCCTCAACGGCTTTGCCTTTTTCCATCCCTTTTTCTTACAAGGCAACTAGTAGCCTAGCACAGTGTTTAGCACTAGCAGAATTGTGATCATCATCATTAGCAACTACAATCTCTAGAACTACCTCAATTGGATGCTCCTTCTTGCTCCCAACGTTGCGTGTCAAATGTAGATGAGGGTCTGTGAGGCTGTTATGCATCCATAGTTTTAATGCACCTCGAAGAGCCATAAAAGGCCACTACAAAAAAGATTTAAAAAAAAAATCCATAAGTAAACTAACTTGTAAACAGTAGTTTGAAATTAACATGTAAAATAATTATGAATATATTTATATAAGTACAAACAAACAATATTAAACAAATAACAGTTGTAATTAATGTAAAATATATTTTATAATATTAATTTTTTATAAATTAATTATTTAAAATATAAATATGATATAAATTTCTTGACATGTTTTCTATTATATAAGATTCAATACTATAATTATAATTAAACAATGAACTATTTTTATACAAATAATTAACAATCATATTTATTATTTTAATAAATAAACATTAATATAAGCAATTTTTTGTATATATTAATAAATAAATATTAACAAAAAGTTTCTTTTGCATATAGATGCAATGGTTGTAAAGGATAAGATAAAACAAAACAATAAGTTTTACAATACTTTGAGTTTTAATGTTAAAACTTAAATAAATAATTTTTGTTAATAAGAAGGTTCCTTTTCATGAATTTTATTTTTTAAATTATGCTATATATTTGATAATTTCTTTAAGGTTATAGGATAAATCATGAGGTTTTTATAATAAATAAATACTAAATTTTTATTTATTTTCTCACATATTCAAAAAAAAAATTAAAAATAAAGAAATTAATTAATTAATTAAAATTATTTATGTGATAATAATATTAAAATAAAAAATAAAAAAAAAATAAAAATAAATTTTTATAATTTTTTATATAAATTAATTGTAAATTGCACTTGGGTTGGCAAAAAGGCTTTAATCGACCGAGACAATCAACCCGCTAAATTAAAAAAGCGGCTGGTTTCTGGTTTTTGCGAAATCGGCTGACTTCACACTTCACAGTGCTGAATCGTCTCTCTCTAATCTCTCGTCTCTGCCTAAACTCTTTTCTCAGTCGCTTCGCAAAAACCCCACTTCCAACAGAGACCAAAGAGTCGAATCTTCCCAGGTACTTTGGCTGTTACTCTGTCCCTCTTCCTCCATTTTCGGGGTTTAGCTATGTTCAAACGAAGTAGAAATGTCCAACTGATCGCCCACTTCTACTTTCAATAGCTTGTTTTCTTGGATGGCTGTAGGATGAGCTTAATGAATTTTTTTGACAATTCAGGTTCTTTAATATTACTTCTCTCTTTCTGGTGTTTGTGTGCTACTCTGACACATTCAATTTGTTAGTTGCTGTAGGTGTGTGGTATGTGGTGTACTGCACATATCACCGTTGCAATCGTTTCATCATTTCGGGTCTTGAATTGCCTCTGTTCGTTTTGAGTTAACTTGGGACTCCTTAAAGTTTGGAAGGCCATCATGGGCTATGCACAGTTAGTAATTGCCTAATTGGCCCTGCTGGCAGTGGAAAGGTGAGTTCTTCAATTCATGGACTTTGTATAAGACCCCATATTCCTGGCTCTTTCTGGTGTGTATTGGCATTGTAATATTTGACACAGCATTTGGCTGTGTGTGTACTTTAATTCAGTCAACATACTGCTCCAGTCTGTACCAACACTGTGAAGCACTTGGGCGCTCGATACACATTGTGAACCTTGACCCTGCTGCTGAGAATTTTGACTATCCAGTGGCTATGGGTAATTGGGAATCCCTTATTGCTTGATTCAGTTGATTGTTTTAAATTTGATTGATTCAGATATTTTTCATTTTTTAGAGCAAGCAACTGATTTTTCTTGTTTTCCTGCAGATATTAGGGAGCTCATTAGTTTGGATGATGTTATGGAGGAACTTGGTCTGGGTCCCAATGGTGGTCTTATATACTGCATGGAGAATCCTTTTTATTTATATTTTTGCCTGATGTAGTACAAGCTTTTTTCTTCTTTTTTTTTCCTATTCTTTACTCCCTCGTTGCATCATTTCAGTTGGGATTATTCCTTACATTATAAGGGGTTAAACCTTAATTGTCGTATAGACATTTTGAAGAAAATCTGGATGATTGGTTGACTGAAGAGTTGGACAATTACATGGATGATGACTATCTGGTTTTCAACTGCCCAGGTAGCTTTGATATTTACCATGTTTCTCTTGGTACATATATATGTATATTATCTTGTTTGAGTTGGAATCAATTTAATGTTAGATCAATTGAATTTAGTGTGATAAAAGATGAGGCCATTCAATTCTATGATGCTCTGACCACATACACTCAACATTTTGGTAATTAATGGTGTTCATGATTTGTACTCGTAGAGCTAGATAAATGGTTAAACCTTGATCCATCCTTGATTATTCTTAGAGAAAATTTTAGCATCAATTCAAGTATTAACTTAGATATATGTTCAAAGAAAAATTACATTATGAGATGTTCAAGTTACATAACAAACTTAGAATATA